ATCCGAGCAGTCAAGAGCGTGACTATAGCTCTGATCGACCCCTAGGTGCGCAAACTCCGCCTCGCTCGACCCCTGAGGGTTGGCTCCGCCTCGCCCGACACCGAGGCCGCGGGCTCTGCCTCGTCCGACCCCTGAGGGTTGGCTCCACCTCGCCCGACACCAAGGCCGCGGGCTCTGCCTTGTACGACACCGAGGCCATAGGGCTCTACCTCGCCTGACCCCTGAGGGTGGCTCCACCTCGCCCGACACCGAGGCCACGGGCTCCATCTCGCCTGACCCCTGAGGGTGGCTCCGCCTCGCCCGACACCAAGGCCGCGGGTTCCGCCTCACTCAACCCCTGAGGGCAGGCTCCGCCTCGCCCAACATCGAGGCCACGAGCTCCACCTCGCCCGACCTCTAAGGGCTGGCTCCGCCTTACCCGACCCTTGGGTTTGGGCTCCACCTCGCCCGACACCGAGGCCGCAGGCTCCATCTCGCTCGACCCCTGAGGGTGGCTCTGCCTCGCCCGACACCGAGGTAGGTAGGGCTCTGCCTCGCCCGACCCCTGAGGGTTGGCTCCGCCTTGCCCGACACCGAGGCCACGGGCTCCGCCTCGCTCGACCCCTAAGGGTGGGCTCCACCTCGCCTGAGCTTTGGGTTTGCACTTTGCCTCGCCCGACCTCTGGGGAGGAACTCCACCTCGCCCGACCCCGAGGTCGGGGGCTCTGTCTCGCTCAACGGAGACCCATACCGTCGCCGACCACTCTAGGTCCAAGCGTATGGGCCTGGGTCAAAGCTCTGACACCAGGGAGATGACTGGCATGTCCCGATATAACCCGTAGCCATGACAGGCCATACCTGAGGATTCACATCAGGAACAGCGTCGGGCGAACCGATGTTGTTCTGCCTAACCCTCGTATGAACACTGACATGCGCGTCAGTTCGCCACGACGTCCGCCAGGACGTAGTGGAGTGCCACGATCGGGAGATGACGCCTGCGCATGGCGCCAGTGACAGACAGGGCCACAATGTGAAGCTGTCCCTGTTGACGTCTATAGGGTCGGCGGGAACCGCAATAGAAGAGAAGAAGGACCCGACGATTCTGGAGGACTTCTTCTCTTCTGATTCTCCTTTTTTCCCTCCGCTGTAACCCATGCTTTTCCTTGGCCTATAAAAAGGAAAACAAGGCGTCCCATTAGGGGGCATCGAACAAACGATCGCAACACATTGCATTGAACCATCGGACTCGAATCCGATCGATCCATCAAACCCCGAATACGCAGCCAAGCAGCGATCGAGCTCTCGGCACCCATTCGTTCCTTCTGCCAGAGACTTGGGACTTATCCCTCTCTCGACCTTTTGAACCCCTACTACGAACTTTCAGTGCTAGAAACACGAGCAGCGGCAACAAACTGGACGTAGGGACATTCTGCCCGAACCAGTATAAACCTCATATCCTCTTAGCACACCATCCGAGCCAGATGCGTAATATTAGAAATTTACTTGTTGGTGGCAACTCGAAACACCGACAATACTCTAGGCCTTTGAGCGGCGGCAGAGCTCAGACTAAAAAATAGTTAAGAGGGGGCTAAAATGTCCACTTTGCAAAACCTAGCAGGGGTCAACGAATCTAACTAGGTTGCTAAAGGGGCAAAAGATAGGGAAATTTGCATGGTGGGTACTGAGGTGTATCATAGTGGAGTTTTGTTGGGGTGGGGGAAGAGACACGTCAACCTCACAAAATTCCACAACTGCCTTGGAGTGTGTTGAACAAGACCCCAATGCAAAATGCAAAGTTCATGACGAATGTTGAGCCGTTGTGTAAAGACCTAGGTCGATAGTTCTACTCTCCACCTCGCATGCACATATAGATGTGTGCACTGCTTGAAAATACCCATAGTGACGCTTAGAGATGAAAACGGATCGGATCGGAGTGGATAATGGCTTCCCCATATCCTAATCCACTTTTTTTGATTGGATTCGGAGCGGTTCAGATATATACGGATTCGGAAGCGAATACGAATTTTTTTAGGATGTCGAAAATGATACGGATTCGGACCAGTGTCGGAGCGGAAACAGCCTTTTTAAAGTCGGATAATATATGCTTACGTGTTATTTTTTTATGAAGAGAGACAATTCATTAACCAAAGTCATAAAGCGGCAAATAGGCAATCACTAGAATTACCATTCCATGTCATGTGTAAACATACTTAAATTAGTATATATAGTTGACTACCTTTGTTTATGGGCTACATATAATAATGCTTGTGTCATGGGCTGTGATGACTTATATTCTTGCAGCTTAGGCTCCTTAAAATATTCGGATTATCCTATTATAAGCGTCGTATAATCCATGTTCAATTATCGGATAACCCATATCCGTCGGATTCCGTCAATCCCATATCCTACAGCGCATCCGCATATAATCGGATTCGGATTATCCGCATCCACACGGATATTAAAAACACTTCTTCGTATCCTTACAATTTGGATTCGGAGCGGAGGATTTTCCATACCACTTTCACCCCTAGTGATGCTTCTTGTTCGGGCATGTACCACAATGCTACCTAAAAAAACACACAGTATCACACATCGTCTCCATGACATTTTTCGAAACCAAAGAATTTAAGGCTTCTACCTCTGAGATAATATTGGCCCTGTTCGCTGGTCTGAAACTTGACTGAAAAACACTGTTCCGGCTGATTTATTGTGAGAGAAAAACACTGTTCGGCTGAATGAATGAATAGTGCCACGTGAGGGGAACCAACCGGCTGGCTGGTTTCCTCCAGACCAGCGAACACCACGATTATGGGAGTGGTCTTTCTTCGTGGTAGTGTTTTTTTAATATAAAAACATAGACATTATGGTATACTTTTTCGTTTGCAGTTTAGCAGCCTGTTCGTTTGGCTGTGGCTTGTCGTAAATGATCGTAAATTTCTAGCCGGAATAGTATTTTTCTCTCACATAAACCAGTTAGCAATATTTCTTCACGATCCAGCAACGAAACGAACCAGCCAACCGAACAGGCTATAGATTATAATAATTGTCCTAACTAATTCCAACTCATCATGAAAAGAAAAAGCAGTCCGTACTACGAGTACGTACCTCCTCTCCTAACCTTGCGTGTGGTACGATGCTAAAAAAAAACCTTGCGTGTGGTACCGACTGCAGAAACTAACGGCTTCCCTGACCCTGAATCCTTGCACGGTTGCACATGTCACGGCCTGCGTCGTCGCAGGCGCACCAAGAGGCAGGAGCACGCACGACATTCCTCTGCTATCTTGTTCTTCGGGCCGTTCGTCTTGCTTATAATCTGTATTTTTTTATCAAATAAATAGTATTTTATTGTTATGATAAATTAGTTAATGGTATTTTTAGTCCTTGCTTATCAGTCAAGGCAACAGGACGCTTGTCCAGGACTGAAGCAGTTTGATCAGTCTGGTGGCCAACGGACGCAACGCACTCCTCGGATTCCGCTTCGGGTGCTCGCTTTGCTGAGAGAGCCTGAGACAGCCACTTGCGAGCCTGACTACTTTCCCAGTACTATTAGTAGAAGTACTACTACATCGCTTCTCCGTCAAACCTGTTCGCTCAGTAGTTTCAGCCAGCCCAAACCAGTCAGTCAATAATATTTTTTTCTCACAAAAAACCAACACCAGTCAACCTAAACCAGCACCAGCACCAACCAGCGAACAAAACCCCTGTACCAACCACATTGTCCAACATGCATTTTTCTAGGGACTATAAAATCAGCATCCACGCTTTTTTTTATACTAAATAAACCATCCATGGAATTGGCTTAGTTTTAGCCTAGGTGATAAAACAATAGAAGCACAACTTAGAGCAATTCCAATAGGATATAGTTGGGTCTATATCATGTTTTTAGGTAAAAAAAGACAACACACACTCTATCCATACACCCAAAGCACGAGACTCAGATTTCTCCTTGGTGCCCTCATTCATGGGCCCACAAGCTAGAATTAGACTCGATACCTTCATCATTCTTCTCCCCCCACTTTTCTTAGCGGACTGAAGGTAGACGGAACCCTACTCCCAGTCATCTTCTTCAATGCCAGTCGTTCGAGCTCTGTCCTCCCCATGGGCACGCCCTGCCGATAGTCCTTGTGTGCACGACCTCCCTGACATTCGTCCCTACACGCAAGCACACCTTGGCCGTCCATCCGCTCGGGAGCTCGCCCTTTTCGGCCGACCACCCTTCTTGGTCGGCCCTCCATGCGAGCTTGCCCTCAGCCCCAGACCTTTGATTTTCACTGAGCCCCTATCCTCTCTCTCCTCGCCTATGAGGTCACCCTCCCCCGCCGCTCGAGCTTCGGACCTCCCTGTGAGTTCACCCTCCCTAGGCGAACATCATTGCAAGCTCTCGCCTTCCCCAATAGCTCAAGCTCTAGTGCCGATGGTTGTGGTGTTGATGGTGGTGGTGGGCGTAGTAATGCCGGTTGCTATGGGTGGAGGAAATGAAAGAAGGGAGAAAAAAATGTGACCAACAAATGGGTACCACATAAAGTAAGTACCTTGCTTTGGGGATCCTGTTAGAGTTGAGCCTTAAAACACTCGAAAAATAGTAAGATCCCCAAATAAAAGTAAAGATACTGATTTTAGAGCTATGCTAGAGTTGTCTTAGACTTAGGAGCTGTTTGGATACAAGGGCTATATAATTACTAGTTAGCTCAAAGTTAGGCAAAATTAGCTTAACGGCAAAGAACTAGCCTAAAGCATGAAGCTGATGTAAACACCATCTCAGAAACAGAAATCAGGGCGCAGGCAATGTATACATGACTTCGAGAACATCAGGGCGCAGGATGACAGCCAAGGTCAGTCCTCGACATGGCTAAGGCTGCTCGTTCGCTCTTGATGCTTGGGTTAGCCTAGGTGACTTCAACTCACACACCCATCTCCAAATTAACGGACGCAATCATTGTCCATTTTTCTAATCCAATGGTGGCTTCAACTCACAGAGAATGCACATATCAGTGTAGCGCACGCACACACACAGGTTGCTGTTATGCTGGCGGATCCTTCGGTTCCGTGGGGCTAGGGTGCTCCAAGTAAAGCTGCATCTTCAGAGGGTCACAGCTAACTGACTTGATGGGGGTAATCTGCGGAGGCTGCATCCACAGCTTGGTGTCTGTAGGAATCCACAGCTGGGCTTCTCGGTCACCATCGGCAGGGAGGGACCGGAAGTAGGCAGTGATCTCCCAGCTACCATCTATCAGAATTCAAAATACAAGCATGTTACTCCTTGAGAGATCTTTTGCAGATATATATTCTTGCCTCTTACAGAAAACCTTAAGATGGTAAAAAATGGCTTCAAATGATGAGATGAAATTGAGAACCTGATGGAAGGGGTTTGGTAACAGGCTCAGCAACAGTCAGCTTGATCAAGAATGCTCGCAGAGCAAACTCCAGGTTTGCCTCCTCTAACTTGGAACAATATGATTGGTTGACTGCAAGCTTGAAGACAAACTTCTCAATTGGTACATGCCCTTTGTCATAGAAGATGACCACAACCCTCTCTACCAATCCCTGGATTGTAAATACAAAAGTCAAGGTTACTGCTAGCTATGAAGTTTCTACAATACTTCTACAATATAGTACTTATCAGAACATCAAGGGATTATCGACAACTGAAAGCTTCATATAAGTGAAGCATGTGGCGTTCAAAAATAAATAAATAAAACAAGCGAAGCATGAACAATCAGTAAAAAAAAAGGAGACAAAACAAGTAATCCTAAGATAAGTCATTTTGCTTCAAAACAGATTGTGTATCAACTATCTACTTTGAAAACACCAAGCAAACAAATTCCCACTGTCAGCTACCCGCTATCAGCTATTTAAAACATCGGTGCAAATAACCTTGGGATTTGAGAGTCTAACATTCCATTAGTGGTGGGCCTATATTAGATGGGCCTTCACGTACTTAACAGTTAACACACATAACTGCAGCAGGACCAGTTAAAACAGGGGGTTAAAGCAAACCTTCTGAATGAAAGGGAGAAGGCCAATAGTCACGGAGTGAATATAGCTAGCAAGTTCAGGATGCCGTGCTTTCTGGACCACTACATTCATGTACCTTCTCCTCTCAAAGGCACCTACATATACATTTGTTTAATCTAACAAAATCATTGCAAGCTGCCAAGCTCAGAGTTACTGAACCAACTTAAACGAAGAGGACTCTTACGAGGAGGATAGAAGCCTTTGAGGAAGACGATGCAGCTGACTGCTACCTCAAGAAATTCCACAACCACCTGTGCTATTTGACCTGTTTAGTTTTAGCAGAGAGACTAGTAACTAACTATTAAAATAGCAACCCCAGCTTAATTTCCAAGAAACAGACAAGAAAACTAATCATAACCACCTTGAGGAGTTTGATTCTTCCGATCCATAACTCCAAGTGAATTCTTCAATTTGGGAACAATTCAAAAACTTCTGTTAATCAGAGCTCCTGCTTTATTATATTCCAGTGATTGGCATAGCCCAATAAGCCAGTGGCCACACGCCACCAGATGGTTGTAAAGCTGAGAAACAAAACTTCAGTTCTAAATCAAATATGATATGACCAATTACATAAGCACGAAAAAAGGATCTGGAAAGCAATGCAATAGACAGCTAGATGACAGAAGCATAGCAGTCAATACTCAAGGTCATCATGTGATATAAGAACCCATTTCTCATCAATAACGCTAGTGGCCAACCCAGCATGTTCTAGCAAAAGCATATACAGGAAATGGTTCTGAAAGGCAAGGTACAAAGAACTGGAGAACAAGCAGAATCACACTGGTGACTTTTGTTTCCCTCATCAGTGCTAACAAATGTTATGGTTATCAGTTAGCTGAAAGGATGGATGTTGGAATTTAATTTTAGTGAATTTTGATCCCACAGTAATTCTTGCAAGATCTAGTTTCATAAGCGACATTACCTGCATATAACTTTCAAATCGAGCCAGCTCATACAATGATGGGTGAAACAATTCACCATGTTCCCAGGATTCATAAATGAGATATGACTACAAGCGAGGAATTTCTACTTGAAGAGATCACAACGAAACACATGGCACCTTCATGGGAGTATTAACCTCTTGCACTTAATCCTCAATGAAACACATAAGGCAATTTAAGTTGGTCATAGTAAACTTCAAACAAAAAAAGGGAAGGCGTGAATGTGATATTTGTGAATAAAATAGTTGACACTTTCAGGTGTTGTGGAGTTTGGTCATAGTCCACACTACACACTCATTTTCAAGCTAGTTTTTTTAGACCTGGGCTAACGTTTTTTTCCTTTTCCAATATGCTTGGGGAATTAATCGTAATGCTGGAACACATCCCTTTCTATGACACTGTCAGGGACTCAATTGCCAGCCATCAAGCATGCTAGTTGCTAAGTTAAAACTCAAAATAACTTGAAAAATGAAATTTCCCACCTTCTGGAGAAATACAAAAGAAGATGTAAACATTCTTTCTACTGCACATAAAATGACAGCATAGTACATTTTGAATCTGTCTATTTAATTGACAAAAAAATATCCCAACTTTCATACGAGTAAGGACTCTGCTACTAATAGCTCATTGATCCCCAAAAGAATGTTATATATAGCTTCTGTCTCAAGGTGTGATTCATCTCCTGCAAAGAACTCGTGCACACATCCGTCCACTTCAATGAAAGAGCAACCGGGTTGCTTACTCATCCTACTACTGTCCATAGATGTCCGCAACTTATTCACATCAACCCACCTTGATGTGGTAGCATAGACATTAGAAAGTAAAACGTGTCCTGCACACTTTTTTGGCTCCAATTCTAGGATCCTTTCTGCTACAAATTCTGCAAGTCCCACCTCTCCACAAGCTCTGCAGGCAAACAACAAAGACCGCCATACTACCACATCTGGGGCAATAGGCATCTCGTTAATAAACTGTTCTGCCTCTGTCAATAGCTTTGCACGGCCCAAGAGATCAACCATGCATCCATAGTGTTCAATCCTTGGTGCAAGATTGTAGACCATTGACATACGCTGAAAGTGATGGAACCCTTGTTCCACTAACCCTCCATGGCTACAAGAAGTAAGGACACCCAAAAAAGTGACCTCATTTGGCATAACCTTACCCTCTCCTTCCATCTGAACAAACAAATCGAGTGCTTCACTACAGAGGCCATTAACAGTAAAGCCCATTATCATTGACGTCCAAGAAAACACATCTCGCTTGGTCAATCCACAGAATATCTCATGAGCCTTTTTTATATCCCCACACTTTGAGTACATATCAATCAGTGAATTCTTCACAGAAAGCTCCTTCCCTAAACCATGAACATCACTGTAAGCATGAACATATCGTCCCAAGTCAAGTGCTCCCATTTGGGCACATGAAGACACAACAGTAGCAATTGTCCCATCATCAGCCTTCATTCCAGTAATTTGCATGTCCCTAAAAATGTCGACAGCCTCTTTAAACTTACCCAACTGTGTGTACCCAGAAATCATTGATGTCCAGCAAACCACGTTTCTCTCATGCATTCTGTGAAATACCTTGCGGGCATCCTCAACCAATCCACACTTGGCATACATACTAATCAGAGAGGATCCCATATAACAATTAATTCCAGCTCCGTTCACCACAACTAAACTGTGACACAGCCTCCCGACCTTCACTTTGCCTGCCTTGGCAGAAGCAACGAGTGCATTCACCAATGTGACATCATCCAGACTAACTTGCTCCTTGACCATCTGGCCAAAGGCCTGCAAAGCTTTATTAGGCATCCCACCTCGTAGGTATCCAGAAATTATTGTATTCCAAGAAACTGTGTCACAAGCTCCTTGGGGAGCAGAATCGAGAACTTGTCTTGCAGTAGTTGGATAGCTACAAGATGAGTACATGTTGATAAGGGAATTAAGGACGAATGTATCTGAAACCAAGCCAAGTTTGACAGAAAGGGAATGAAGCTGGGCACCAACAGAAACAGATGGGAGGCGGGCAGTGGCGGAGAAAGCAATGTTGAGGGAGTAGTTATCAAGGGTCATATATCCAGAGTGGCGGAGCAGGGAGAGGAAGGAGAGGGATAGAGACGGGAAAGGCCCCAAGGAGAGAGATCGGAGGACAGAGTGGACAAGGGGTAGCTTGAGGAGAAGACCTGAAACAATTGATTGAGAGAGGAGGAGGGGAATATGGCAATGGGAGAGTCGTGGGATTGAAATTGAAAGGATATGCTTGTGTTCAGGGCAAGAGCTTTTGGCAATGGAGAAGGGTTTTAACTTCCCAACAGATATTTGTGAAGGTGCGCCCATTAAAGCCAATGGAGTTGACAAGTGATCTGTCACTGCAGGCAAGCGCTTGGTGGATATGGGAAACTGTCATCCAACACTGAAACCTACATTGCAAAGGAACCCGACGTGAGAGACCAATAGATCATGTCGTGCTGAGTGTCAGACAGTTAGCCATTTAAATACATATCACAGTCATGGCCAAGCACTTCAGGTCCAATGCACAAGAATTCCACAATTTTATAGCTCAGCAATAATTAACAGCAGTAGTTTGTGACTTTGTCGTGGACTGGTGGAGCGGTACCCAATGAACTGACACAGTCAGGAATTTGGGAGGCTCAGGGAAAATCAAATATTAAAATGGGGACAATGGAATACTATTGACATTTGACAACAGCCTCCACCGCAGCAGCCATGACAAGCTAGGCCATGATGTCGATCTGGGCATCCAGAAAAGGCACAGCATGCTTGAGGAACTCAGAGTGATCTTGCAACAGCTCCTTGGTGTGGAAGAAGCAGCATTTCTGGATGGCTGATTTTCGACAGGAAACAGAGCAGCGTAAGAATCAAGCTATCAACAAAAACATCCCGATTGCAAAGTATGCATGCCTATGCCTAATGCCACAGAACATTCTTATTTACTTTAGCTTTGAGGCAAGCAAGGTGGTCACATCATTAGTTAGCATAGTCATCTTCAGCACACAGTTTGTTAGGTTCACCATCCACAACCTCAGATCTCTTGATACTCTCGTCTCACATGGGTTTGGCGATCCTAGCATCACCGTCCGCAAGATCCAGGGGCACAAGCGGACAGTGTGGCTTCAATTCTCTCCATCTGGACAGTGAACCTAGCTAACTGTGTACTACAAGATGACTATACATCTACACTGACTACCCTTAGTAGTCTTTCCACAAAAAGAGTGAATCCCATGCCATCCCCAAAGCTAAACTCAAAACAGAAAAGAACTATTGCGTGCGAGAGCATTAGGCACAGGCATGCATGTATCATGTATGTGATTAGAACTTCATCGTTGATAGATTCTTGCTACATTTCTCCGTTTGATGCCCAAAATCAGGCCAACAAGAACCACTACTTCGACCATACTGAGGAGATGAGACTAGTTCTGAACTCAGCTCATTACACAAACATTCTCAGTTGCCAATTTCAACAAGCGGCAAGACCAAAAGAAAGAAAAGGATACACTACCTTTTCCTGCTATCCGGCTGCTCGGCTCCCCCTTGCCTGCAGTCCTTGCAGCAGCGCAGGCGCCGCTGCTCACAGCGGCCGCCGGCGCGGCGGCTCGGCGCCGAGTGGCCCGCGGGCGGGCGGACGGCAGGCGCTGCACGGGCTCACGGAGAAAGTAATGAGTCCGGCGCTGCGCCGGCGGGTGTTAGGGTTAGCGAGGGGAGGCAGAGGGGATGGTGAACAGAACGCGAGCAGCAGCGAGCAGTTGAGAGAGGGAGGGAGGGACCCGCACCACCTGGGCTCTGGTCCTCCCTTCCTCCGAGCTCGCCTGCCTGCGCCTGGTCTCTCCGGTTGTCGGGCTTGCCAAGCGCCGCCGCAAGCAGCGTCGGAGCTGCCAGGCTTCTACTAGCACATATGGGCTAGGAGCTAGCTGGACCTTGTCCCTTAAGCAAAAAGGGCAGCCCAAAACTTTGGAAGTACTGTAGGAGCATGCCAAAGGACAAATTTTGTGAACACATTAGCACAAAGCAGGGACCGAGCATCAGCTAGAGTGGCCAGCGGCGGCAGTGGCCACGCAGCCGGCGCAGGTTTGATTTCTGGAATCGACCTGCGTTTCTTATCTGGACTAGCTCCAGAATAGAATCTACACCCTCGTCTCGGCTAGTGCGACAGAGGGACGGCGACGTTCCCGCCGCCACAAGCAGATGGTTTCGATGATTTCTGCCAGGTCTTCTACTACGTGTGTGTACATATGGTGTGAGTGGTGCAGTGTGAGCTATAGTGTGGGCCAAAGGCCAGCCAAAACTGAAGTATGAGCACGCCAAAGGATAAAAAAAAAAAAAGCACAAAGCAATCAGGTAGTAGTAACTTGTTTCTAAAAAAAAAAAGTAGTAGTACCTCTTTTTTTTTGCGGGGGAAGTTATGGCGTTTTTCATTTAAATGGGTGAGGAGAAATTGCAGAAACTTGTTAAGATCTTGACAAAAAAATATTTGTTTTATACCCATTTCAAAACAGTCATCTCTTGAGCTGCGTTGTTGACGGAGGACGTACACTCCTGTACTCATCAAGCTCCGGTTATGATGTTGCCTGGTTTGCAACTCGGCGATCAATGGCTACAAGCCTACAACTACAAAATGGTTGATGATATTATTACAAAGAAGTATGCTCTTCTTCTGCCTCAAAGTCCTCCGCTTGGAGGCCTTTGATGGAGAAAAGGAGAAAACTCCTTGAAGATCACTTCTTCTTGTCTGAGAGGAAACCATGGCAATCCGTCGGTTTATATAGGCAATAAAGGATGCTAAAAGAGCCCGCCAAATCAGGTGAGTCATGTGAAATTGCAGAGGTGTTCAGATTCTTCCACGCCTTTTTCCCTAGTTGCGCCACGGCCTGGAGTCGTGTTACTTTAGGAACTTGGACTTTTGGACAACACCAAGGAACACTGGCATAACTTGTTGAGCATAATTATTGAACATACAGAGCTCCAATTATCTGAACCGTGATTCTGAATTCCCCACCATTTCTTCATAACTTCCTGTGAAACATGAAACCTTATGTGTTACTAACATATGCTATCAAACACTGGAAACTGCATGATGATAATTTGTTAGGATCTTTGACACATGAATAAAATTTGCATCCAGAAATAACTAGTCCAGTTTTTCTTACTCCCTCCGTTTCAAATTATAAGTCGCTTTGACTTTTTTGGTTCATCCATTTTGCTATTTATCTAGACAGATATTATATCTATATACATAGCAAAATGGATGTATCAAAAAAGTCAAAACGACTTATAATTTGGAACGGAGGGAGTACATATGTGGTGATACAAAGAAGTATGAATAGTTAGCACTAAAGCCAGAGAAAAAAAAAAACTAGAAATCAGTTAGACAGTATCTAGAAAGTAACAACAGAAGATTTGGATAAGATAGCTTTCAGGTAGAAGCAGCATGAGGCATCCAAAAGAATTCCAACTTGATAATTGCTTTTGAAGATTCTGCCAAAGCTTCAGGCTGGTTGCTATCACACAGACTACACAGTTGACCTAACCCTGGCAAAGAGCAAGAGCCAACAGAATACAAGATGAAGCAAAGCCTCATGGCACGCAGAAAAGTTCATGAACCAACCCTCGTTGGACATTCTTCCGCGCACTTGCATACTTCACGTGTGCAATAACAGCCAATACTTCTAATAAGAATATAAGATATCATGCCATGAGAATATGTGCTGATTTGCCCCTACAATTCTGTTTTTTTTTTTTGTGAAAATACAATTCTGTTTTCAAATTTCAATATCTCCCACACTTATTTATGTTTATGGATCATCAAATATGCAGAGCCTATTTGGGTACAATAAATAAGGTTGCATTAATCCTGGTGACGGACTAGATTTCAGATCACTCATGTAGGCTACAGTAGTTTTGTGATATGACACCATGAGCTGAGAAATGGGTTAAAGTTAAATTGGACACTCATATGCTTGTTTCCATGTAGAATTTGGGGGTATCTTAGTTCTATCTTCTATGTCATGCAGCACAGCAGCAGGTCTTGGTGGCCCAATTCCAATCTGGACATGCCTCATTAATGATATTTGAAAGCTTGGCTCTTCAGCGTTGAATTTCAAGATTTTTGACGTGCAGAAATGGCTAATGTTGATACTATATGATCCAACTTAATGGCAACAGAGTTGAGCATGCATGTTTATATTACCTGAGCTCCAAATTTAGTAGCTCCAAGACAAATTCCAACACGCTGTCATGAAGCTCACTGGTGATAAACTCTTTAATATGTCCTTCAACATCAATCTGCTCCACCCAGGTGGCTTCCTCATCCCTGTGTGTCCTCATGATGGCCCATACCTTGTTGACTCCACCTCATTTCCTTGCATTTGCACATATGTTTGGTAGCAGTACATAATTTCTAACGTTATCCGGCTCCAACTTGAGAAGGTGCTTTGCTGAGACCTCTGCAACCTCCACATTCAGAGTAAGTCTGTCATGCACTTAACAAAGCACCCCAAATGCCAGCATGCATTTGCATTTCTATTGGTAAGACTCGTGCATGCGTCCGGCATGGCCAAGCAAGTCCACCATGCACAGGTAGTGTTTGACAGTCGGAATAATATGGTACCCATCCTCCATCATCTGAAAGCCTTGACACCTTCATCAAACAAACCCGCATGACTGCAAGCAGAAGCAGCAAAGGAGTGGCCCAAGTCCTTGTCCTGCAACGCATTGAAAACCGCAATAGCATCCTTTCCACAGCCATGCATGCCAAATGCAGAAATCATAGAACTATAACAGATCCGAATTTTTTTCCCACCTGCAGAACAAGGCTTGGGCACTTTCCGTATCCCCACATTTTGAGTGCATAATAGTGAGGCCAGGCAAGGTATGGTTGTATGGTTGTTCAAAAACTTGAACGGTGACGATCCACATAACCTTGCATCCATATAATCTTGTATCCGTCTAGCTTGAATAGGTACTCCACCCAGATTGCACACAAGCATCAGCCAAGTGGAGACTATCATGTGGTTTGGCTCCGCCTTAGGTCTTGCTCTACTCTCCAGCTTAGCCCTCAAGAGATCCACTGCTTTTGCAGCCATACCAGCATAACAGCGCCTAAATAGTAAATACACGCCAGTCATCATGTTCATTGTTGTAGCAACCAGCTCTCTCATCCCATCAAACAGACACAGCCCTGGCACCATCCAAATTGACAGTCCTAGCATATGTTACCCAGAGATCATGGCGGTGCACACACAACACTCCAGCCACTTCTGCAGTCTCATCCGCCTCGCCAACTGCATGTACACACTGCGATCATCGTGCTCCACAGCTGAGCACCCTTCACAACCATTCTGTCAAACACTTTCCATGCATCCTCCAGTCTTCCGCAGTTGGGAACAAGCCCACCAATGTCGTCACGCTGCGCTCGTCGGTTTGGAATCAGGTCTTGAACACGTGAACATGGACTTCAGCGCGGCGGGGACGGTGAAGGTTGAGCGGCGGCCGGCGGGCGTGACCCCTGGGCAGGTGCGATGCACTCCTGGGCGCAGAGCGTCGCGTGCGGCGACGGTGGGCGGAACCCAACTGGGAGTGCGCGGTTCACACCAAGGGTTTCAGAACATGATAGACCTCTACAGTTTGCACAAAATGAAACAGGAATTGCAAAAGTAATGTTATGCCAAAACAAAGTTTAAAAAACCTACAATTGGAATCTGTAAAAATGATGCACAAAGAATTTCTCTTCTCAAGCAGCATCGGAATCTGCAGCATTTCCCAACATATGTGCAATGAATTTATCAAAACATCACGGAAAAACACCCGTTTTTTTCCATCTAAAAGGCTAGCAAACAAAAGTGCATGAAATTTGATCGATGAAATGAATGCACTAGCCAAGTTAATGTTACAAATTACAGCTTCAACAAAATCAGAAGCTGCCACACCACAAGTACAATACATCACATGAACTAAGAACGTCCAAACCAAATATGGATTCATCGTTTCTATATTTTTAATGAACATCTATTACCTATAACTTAACTCTCGACTACAGATTACAGCCAAATTAAACTAACCAATACCTGTCGGATTCACTCTACCATTTTGTCCTACTTCCCTTTCTTCATTGCGAGCTTTTACTGTGGAAACTTCCTATGAATCATCATTTGTACGTCTCTCAATCTTTTTCCTCTCATTGAAACCACGTTCCATGCCAAACTCTTCTGCGAATGCCTCTATGTCAGATGACGTCTCAGAGCAGCCCTTTCGACCAACAAAATGCGGCGGTTCAGTGCCACATCTCTCCAGCCCTATAGCACTGCCGATCTGGCTGTGCAAGTCTTCCAAGTCCTCTGCAGCCACCGCTTGCCTTTTCATGCCCATCTCGAGGTCCACGCTCATCTTGGGCGGACTTAGAACCCGTCCCATACTGAGGGATGACGTGAAGGCTGAAGAATCATCCTTAACTTTTGCTCTGAAATTGTGTTTTGAGCTGGGTACCATTGAAAACAAGACGTCGACGAAATTCCGGCCCACTCCAAGGTTGTAAGGATTTGTTCTCAGGTCATAGTGGTATCTGAAGTTCTCATAAGTGGTCTGAAAAACGTTTTTTTTTCATGAGACTTCAATCTGCTAGCTTGCTAATAAACTGCAAAGAAAAATAATTGTTACTCCAGTTACTCGAGAATAGTCTTACCTGATTTGTAGAAATCAAATAGAGGTGGAATGAGGTCAATCCTCCTACAAACCACACAGCAATAAATGTGTATAGGATGAGAAGAGCGGAGATAGGAGACTTCAAAAGCGCTCTACCAATTTTACATTGATGCATGTCCATAATTCTCCTGAGATTGACCCAGCAGAATGCAAACACATATATGCATAGTAGAGTAGTCGAAAACACAAACATGAAGAAGAATCGGTAGTTCCTCTGCAAGAAAAGAGAATATGAGGCATGATGAGTAACATCCACAGTTATTAGAATTAATTAATCACAGATCCATATTGAGAGCACCATTAGGAGAAAACATATAACTACATATATCCCCATTCCCTCCTCTGTCTCCTTCCCAGTACATCATTCAGATTTTAGCATGACTGGAAAGTGACTGCTGCCACAGCATTCTAAAAATATTATATTTATTATATGGTGCATTTATTATATGACTGTAAGAATGATTACTTGTCACTTCATTTCTTTACCTTGCCAATGCACTGGCCTACCCAAGGACAGTGGTGATCAAAACGTTCTACACAGTTGTTGCAGATTGAGCAATGGGAGCACCTTGGCGGACGATAAAGCATGCATGTATGGCAATATTTGACCTTGACTGAAACACCATTGACAAGAACATCCCTGGTAAGTGGTAAACCTGTCGAACCTTGTTGACCACCCGGGCAATCTGGTAAGTTGGAGGATTCATCAATGTCTTCAGGCTCTGGGGGATGAGCGTTTCGAGGAACAATTCCAGGATCATGGCCAGATGTGAGAAGTAGAACAACAAGAATCTGAAGAACAAGAACAACAGTAGATCAGTCATCTTGTCAACTTTACCAAGTTGCAGACACTATAGTCATTATACTTCAGTATCTATATGCATAATGGCTATGAGCCTATGACCATTCTCCCCAATGCAATTGTGGTATAACTTAACATAATAAAAGCAAATGCAGAAACTTGTTAAAAGATGACTAAAAATTTCAAATGCATAACTTCGCATTTGAAAATCCGACAAATTGAGGAGAAAAAGATACAGATCAGTTTGTAACAGACTGAGTGTACATAGCTCATAAACTTACATATGCTGTAAAGATGATAGCCACAGATGCCTCCCAACCTCCAATTTGGCTATGGAACTCATGACCAAGCTGTGGACAAACGGCGGCAGCAAAGAAGATCACTGGGACTACAATCAAACATACTGTGAGCACAAGTGACCTCACATCTGGGCCAAAGATAAGTCTCCCTCCAAGGAAAAATAGCTGCAAGAACAGAGAAGGAAAATGGGTGAAAAACATGAGTTTATTCCAAGACACGTTAAGGAGAAGGTAGCGCTTTGAAAAGTAAAAATATAAGCTTTTAAAGTTTGGGTATCTTTTCAACTATTATGTTAGTAGCCAGCACAATTCAATCATGGTGAAGATGTACATGATGGTTACATAATAAAAGTTCATGCTGATGGGTTCTAGATTATCTTTCTGCAAAGAAACAACTTGCAATATATGCACAAAACCGCGAATATAAGAGTATGGTTCCCCCCAAAGGAGAACATATGGAATTTGAAACATAATAACAGACAGTAGCAGTATTCTAAATTGCAAATTATGCCTCAACTGAAACTTAGCATTACATTATTCCAAAATCCCTCTCAACTTCTCAAATTTTCTCTTATTCCTGTATTTGTGTCGTGTAGCAAATCAATGCCATATAGTCATCGTCTTTGACATGTTCCTAAACTAGCTGCTTCAGTGAGGATATCAGCCCATTATCATAAAAATCTCTAAATAAACAAGAACCACTACTTCTATGCCAAATGGCCAATATAACACGCATCAGCAAACACTAAACAGCACTAGACTAGAATGTCTTATATAGCTTTTGGATGCTTATGCTGCCATTACAATTAATTCCAAACTAACACCAAGATTTCAACAGCCTATGTCTCCACCTACTGACTCAAGACAACAGAAAGCACGATTTTTTTTTCCACATCATTCCCTGATGCTACTAAAAACCAACAAGGACAAGTAGCCATGAGCCCATGACCCATCTTAAGAAAATTTGCAGAATCAGAAACCAGACCGAGAGAGAGAAACCCTCACATTGCTGCCTTTCCACGCCTGGTACACCCGCCGTGGCGGCGCGTCAAGCTCCATGATCCGCCGGTTGGAATCCGAGAGCTGTGCCTTCCCCTGCATCCTCCCTTCCACAGCTTCGCATCCGCCCACGCTCAGAGACTCCACAGAAGCAAGCTCTACTTCACCCAAGCAGCCCCATTGCGCTCATGAGCCCCCCGGAACAAAATTCCAAAGCCAGCTAGTCCCCCCGCCCGCAAGAACGCGGAGGGCAGGCGGTTCTCTCGCGGATCCCGGCACAGCAGGGGCGCAGACTCGGACCAAACCGGTCCGCGAGGGACGGCCGCTCCGAAACGGAGAGAGTAGGCTCGGCGGCGGGGAGAAGGGAGCAAGGAGAGGATTAGTAGCTCGGAATCGGCGGTGATGCCATCTTGGGATCGCAAGTAATCAAGCGGTGTCGCTGAGAAGAAAGGAATAATCTGAACTTGGGAGCTCTGAACTGAAGACGGAAGAGTTTAGTGTCACTTTCGTGATTAACCCCTATGAACAAAGATTATTTCGAATAAAGACCCTTTGCTCAGGCTCTAGTACTATTTCTGAAAAAAAAAACTACTCTGGTGTACTACTTGTATTCTCATGCATCAAATTCATTCATTTACCATCAATCAAACATTGGCATCTCGGGTCGTAATAAAAAAACACTAACACATTTCTTACTATTATATTGGGTAATATTAGAGGAGGGCTGGATGGTACTTCTGTTCTTATGTTTTTTATTTTTCTCGTCTAACAAAACCGGTAGCAAAACTTTTGTCGTCTTTTCGAAAAAAATACTAGGAGAGGAGACTAGATCGACACTAGAACAGAGATTGTTCATCATGCATGTTTCTTAGAGCTGATTCATCCTTGCAGGCATGCAACAAAAGATAAAGGTAACTTGCTTGGCATCATGAAGACAGCATAAAGCAAAGATTTGCGCAGAAGATTTGGCGCCGGTGAAGCTTGTGCCTGTGCCTTGTGCACTTGACACCATCATCCAGTTCGGTTAAAAAAAAGTGCTAGATTTGGAAAGGAGAGACCCCCAGGTTGGCTCCCAGAAGCCCTGGACGTGGCGCAGCTGATTCAGAATGTTTTGAACTTTTTTTTAATAAAATGACAGTGATTCAGACATTGCAAGCTAAGAGACAACCTCGTTCGGCTTACCTTATAATCCGCACTATTCAGCTTGTTTTTTCAGCCGGAACAGTGTTTTCCTCTCATAACAATTCAGCCAATTCAGCCAAATTTCACCAAGCCGAACGGGGCCTACAAAAGGAGTAAGAAACCTGTTGTTCATGTCACATTTTCAAGAGCCTTGCATTATCCACGAGGAAACGGCAGAAGAGGTTGCAGACGTTGGTTTAGCTGCCAATTCAGGTTTCAGAACTGACCCAAGAGACCTGTCAATTGTCATTCATTTCAGTTTAGAGTAATAATCGTACCCTGCACTAGGAGACATATGAACCTTTTTGTGGCACTCAAGTTTGTTTCCAATAGAGCTCCTGCACTGTGCACATTTAGTATTTCTATCATCAGTGAACAAACACGCTTTAATTCAAACTCCTGAAGTATGAAAGGAAGAAAAGAAGAAAGGTCAAAAGTGTCGTCAGTCCAAAGTGCTCTTCTTTGCAGCACAGGTGCCGTGTTTATCGGGTAGTGGACTTTTGTGGTTCTATAAAGTAATGCTCGATGGAAAGGAGTAGGACGACACAAAGGCAAGGTTTTCTGTTCATCCATGATGCATTTCCATGCCTTTCAACTTCTTGTTCTTCTTGGGTGGGCTAGTTGAGGTTTTGCAAATGCAACTAGCTGTTTGCAATGTTACTGGAGCAATCAAGCAAATTAAAAAGGCACTAACCTAGTGCTTAACCTTTTATTTATCTCCTTTTGTCCCAACAAAAATAAAACAGGTCTGAAGATCTTGGGAAAAAATTATAACTATAGTTTTTTCTTAGAAAAAGGAATGCTTGATGTATAAATCTACTATACTACTTGCAAGAGTAATAAGATAAAAAAAGGGTAGATTGTTCTTTTCTCGAAAACAAAATTTATACATGCTTATACTAGGAGTTACTCCCTCCGCTTCAAATTATAAGTCGTTTTGACTTTTTTGGTACATCTATTTTGCTATGCATCTAGATATAATAATATGTCTAAATACATAGCAAAATGAATGAACAAAAAAATCAAAGCTACTTATAATTTAGAATGAAGAGAGTAGTAATTAGTAAATAGGGTATTTTTTGTCTTCTTTGTTAATATAAATGGGTAGCAAAATGAATGAACCAAAAATTATCAAAGCGACTTATAATTTGGAATGGAGGGAGTAGTAATTAGTAAATAGGGTATTTTTTGTCTTCTTTGTTGATATAAATGGGGTAGGTTATTATTGCAATCCTTCCTTTTTCACCTTTGTGAGCAAAGTATTCGATCTCAAGCGACAAACCAACACGTTGCAGTGCACTTTCCTTGATCGCAAAGCACAGATCCACAAGCAACGAACTCCCATTCCCTTTCTACATATGCGTCAATCTATCCTTAGCCAACTGGAAGATAAGACACCCACCAAATTAATCCAACTATCCAAGCCCAAAGGTCTTCTTTTGTGCGGTAATAATGGAATTGACGATAAATGTACATTGATTGTCTAATGGAGATACATACATTACCACAAAAGTAGTCAACACAAACGGGTAAAAAAAGTGCATAACCGACTGTTTTATATCTATCTGCTGAAGAGGGTCAATGATATGGCTGCTGCAGACAATGAATCGTGTTTGTTTCTAGTGAATCTCAAACTGTAAAAAAAAAGGCAACCGTCTGAAATTTGTTTAGACCGTGCCACCTATAAACAAAAGCCTGTTTGTGATCTATCTAAAGATAGATTGGTATTGTTGAAAATCATTTACAATGAGTTGCCAAAACAAAAATAACAAATATCTTATAAAGTACTTTCATAATTTTATTTATTCTATAGATGTTCCAGCCATATCCGAACACAAAATAGGGGTTTGTATCTTGAATACCATAAAGTCAACACTATCAAGTTCGTATTTGATTGGAGGAGATTTTTTTTTAATTTTAGTACATTTTAAATTAATATTTAAAAAAAACTACTCTAGTTTTTTTTTTAACCTAACTCTTTTGGAGCGACAAAATAACATTGGCGCAACAAATCCATCGTGCTAGCGAAGCCCGGAGGAGCCAATCATTATTCCTAGCTTTGGCGGTGCCGTCTGTTTCCTAGTTCATTTGGGCAGGAGCCGGAGCTCTCTCCCTTTTTTTTTGCATCTGCTACAGTACCTACCATTGTAAAACACAGTATGCAACGGTATTGTGGGAGCCGGAGCCGGAGCCGGAGCACCTTGAAGTGACACCAAATGTGGCCCTATTATAGTAAAATAGAAGAGTTTGTGTCGAAAAGATTTTGATTGGCCTTCTAAAATTGATTGTATAGTACTGTTGTGCGAGCTGTTTTGTGCGAGTTATTTATAGTGTTTATATTTATTTATTTGAAACTCCTACGTTACAAAATTATAAAGTCATTCTGACTTTTCTAGAGGTGTATATATGTTTGAATACATAGTTTAAGTCCTTATAATTTAGAATGTGCTTAATCAATTCCAAATTGTAACACCGTTTTGACTTTTTCTATCTAGCAGCCTGTTCGGGAGGCCGTATCGTATCGTGGATTATTTACTGCTGGCTGGTTTGGTGTGAGAGAAAAACACTGTTCCCGGCTGGAAATTTACGATCGTTTACGAGCAAGCGAACAGGCTAGATACATAATTGTTACTATATATCTGATAAACAACTTGTATCTATAAAACTTAGAGCATCTTATAATTTGGAGTGAACTAGATATATAGTAACTATGTATCTAGAAAAGTTAGAACACAACCGATATCTAGGAAACTCGGAGCATCTTATAATTTGGAATGGAGTAAATATATAGTAGCAACTATATATCTAGAAAAGTTAGAACGATTTACAATTTAAAAATAGACTAGACATATAATACTCCTACGTTCTAAACTATAAAATGTTAGCTTTTCTAGATCCATTGGTTTTACTATATTGTTAGTATTTTTTTATACAAAACAAGAGGGGTAAAACGCTCCTATTGAAATTTTATATTAGAAAAAACAGTAGTATGGAGTAATAATCTATTATTGCAATTAACAATTTCGCTTTTCACCTTTTTCCGCCTTTTGCAGCAAAAGTTCTTGATGCCAAGCAACAAACCTACACACAATGCTGAGAGCTCTTTTCCTGATTACAAAGCCGCAGCAGTGACCGATCGACAAGCAACTCCTCTTCTTATCTATATATCCCTTTCTACATGTGGCCAATAATCTCCTCTCCGTTGCGACCGACCGATCGATCAATCGACAACGTGGCCAACTGAGGATTCATAAATCATCAAAGTCAATTCGTGTGCCCAACAAATTAAAGGTATTCTTGCTACATACGGAGTACGTACCGTACCAGCAGTATAGTAATAATAAAATAATTAATGGAATACAATAATTGACGATGCATATACATATACAGTAATTACAGAAATGCTGTGCTGAGGGTGTCCGATCGTCAGGACGCTCCCGTTCGCGAGCCACGACACTAGTCCAATGACCCAACAGGTCGTATCCAATTCTCTTTAACACTCGACGCTTCCATTCTACAGTATCGTGACAGCCGGCCGGGGCATCTCCACCTATAAATGTTCATGCGGCCCGCAGCACGACAGCACAACACGAAGCCCGCACTTTTGGCCCGGCACGATGAAAGCCCTAGTTTGGTTTTGAATAATTGATGAAACATAGGACCAACCTTTGATCTAAGTGTGTGAATTAGATGAGTTAGTCCAATCCAAGTGGTGGAGCTAGATGATGTTCATGGTGAAGATGATGGCCACAAAAAGTTGGATCAAGTGCTTCACATTTGGAAAAGAAGAAAAACAAAAACAAAAATGGAATCAAGACAAAGGTATAGAGATAGGAGCCATTTTTTGTTTGCACTCAAGACACCATAGAAGGTGTGAGTGATTTAGGATCGATAGCCGCACTATTAAGAGGGGAATTCTC